TATTGGAAAAAGGAGGGTCCCTGCCGGGGGGAAAACCCCCTTAACCCAAAATTCCAATTTGGGGATTCTCCCCTTGACCCTTAAGTTTAAATATTCCAACGGGAACTTTTGTTTTTCAAATTTAAGGTGGGCCCCAAGTTTTTTTTTTTAAAAGGCCCCCCAAAAAGCTTTAAATTTTTAAATTTTAAATTGGGCTTGGGCCCTAAAATTTTGAAATTTGAAGTTTTTTTTGAATGAAGGGGGTTTTTCAAGTGCCTAAAGCAGAGAGCAAAGGGTTTTTTTTTTTTTTTTTTTTTTTTTTTTTTTTTTTTTTTTTTTTAATATACCACTCAAATCTTTGAGACACTTCATTGCACGTGCTCGATTTGGGCTTCAAGCCTCAATATATAATAAAATTGTTATAGTACTTTGATCATGAAAGAATACTACTATAAATGAGGAATACGCTCTAACTCAAATGTTCAAGAGTCTTATCATTTAAACTTAAAGTCTAATATACTCCATCGGGATTTTTAATCTCGTATGTAATCTAGGCTTTAGGCCTTTAATCGTCCCTTTTGTTTTTTGAACATCATGTTCAAAATTCGCACAAGGGACAGCTCTGGCAGAGCTGAGTATTTTATGCATATCTCTCTCGATAGAGATCCGATTTCGATGGTTTAAAATGTTCCGAAAAGCCAACAGAAAATTCTACAAGTTTCGTATTTTGAATTTTCTGAAATTCGGACAGTATCAGATCCAAAATAGACATCGAAGTACAGACTCGTGAATTGCACGAAAATTCATCTACAACAAAATTAAAATGATTAATATTTAATCAATTTAAAACAACAATAAAATATTTGAAATCAACTCCCTTTTCATCTTCTATGGTTGAGAAGTATATCTTCTTTGGATCATCTTTACTCGAAAATGAAAATAGAACAATCGTGCTGATAACGTGTTGAGAAACTAGGAAATACTATGCAAAGAAGAAGAGAACAAAGTAGGGAGAATATGTAATATGTTATCCAATCTCTTCAAGTGTACAAAATACAATACATTACACATAATTTATATGTGTAGAAAAGCTAGTCAAATATCATGAGTTACAAGACCTTAAACAATACATTGCACATAATTTATATGTGTAGAAAAGCTAGTCAAATATCATGAGTTACAAGACCTTAATAGCGAATAATGGTGAAGGTAATCTGAGTGAGTTTAATGGAGAGCGTAATGATGGCCATCCATAACCTCCAAAAATTCACAATAGTACATATATTATTTTTTATTAATTTTCTTTTATGTTAAAAATAGATTTTGATTTTTTTATAGATGTTAGATAGTGACACGAAAGCAAAATCTAATTGGAAATTCCTCATCCATAAACTACAAATTGAAGATAAGATGATAAGCCTTTGTGGCAAATACCAAATCCTATTTCACTTCCCTCACTACATTGGCCACCCCCTTTCCCTCCCACCCCTCAAAAATCGCCCCCCTCCAATGGCTTCCCCATCTCTTATGACCCCCACCTCCACCCCCGCCGCCGCCCACACCAAATCCTTCTCACCAATCCGATCAAAACTCATCTCCACCGCAACCGCCACCGCCGCCGCCGCCGCCACTCCGACGACCATCTCCACCACTCGCCGCCGCGACTTTCTGTCCCTATCAGCCGGCGCGCTGCTGCTGACCCACGTGCCATCCGCGTGGGCAGCCCCCGACGAGGAATACGTGAAGGACACGGCGGAGGTGATCAACAAGGTGAGGAAAACCATCACTCTGGAGAAAACAGACCCCACCATCGCCGACGCGGTGGCGGAGCTGAGACAGACTTCCAACGCATGGGTGGCGAAGTACAGGAAGGAGAAATCCCTATTGGCTCGGGCTTCGTTCCGCGATATTTACTCCGCCATTAATGCTGTTTCGGGCCACTACGTTAGCTTCGGGCCGACTGCTGCACTTCCGGCGAAGAGGAAGCAGAGAATCTTGGAAGAGATGGAGACTGCTGAGAAGGCTCTTTCCAGGGGAAGATGATCATGATGATGATGAACAAGAAAGACTACGCGGCTGCATTTTTCTTTTTCTTTTTCTTTTTTTTGGGTTGTAATTTTGTAATTTAATGTGTTATGTAATTTTCTATCATGATTCTGAGATGATAGCTTATACAATAATGTGCATTTTAGAGAAGTGGCTTGTCAAATTAAGTACTGCAATTTTACTCTTGCGGTGTTAATAAGAGCATCTCCAATCCATGGATTTAGGTATTCGATTGCTATAATCGTGGCAGTCGCAGTGTGGCAATTTCAACTCCAATGAGGATTGGTTTCTTGTGGGCACTAGGTCCGAGTCTTCTATTTTAACGGACCCTTGAGTTACAATAATTTACATTCCTCCATCAAATACTTATCGGACCAAGGGATATGGGGCCTCGCCTATTGGTGCAAGGTATTCGATTGCTACTTGCTTAATCAATGCTGACAACTGAGCCACAATATTACTATACATATGCAAGCCCGTTTTTTAAAATTCGGGGGCCTAGACGAGATATATAGAACAACTCAGAAAGGCCTCTTGTCCAGTGACGAATCCAAATTTTTATTCAAGTTCTTCTTGGAGTGGACTTAGAGGGGGCTCAATAGTGAATGTTCTCCATAATGCATATATCTATTGAGAGTAATAAGTAGCCCCTTTTACAATTTTAAATGAAATTTGACACACATACGGGAGTACACTGGATTTTTCGAAGATAGCTATTATAACTTTCCGAATTTTCTAGCAATTTCTCCAACTCTCCATCCAACTTGTCCAAGGTCAAATGTGATATATTGCATATTAAAACACCAAAACACGGATATGAAGTACCGTAGATTATGAATGTTTTGTTTCTCTCGTTTTTCACCTTCAACTCAATAATTTGAAGGTGAACTTGCGCATGTGCAAGCTGATTTTGCACAGTGTCAATAGCTCCAATAGAAAATTTCAACAAACTCTTTGACGCACGATGTGCAGCCTCCACCTTGTTTCAACCAACAAGCATTTAATAGTGAAATGTTACATTTTATTTTATAGACAAATAAGAAAAAAAATCCTATTGTTTACTATGGTATATATGTCAGTCGTCGTGTTATCAAAATGAAGCATATTATTAGTTCAACATTTTATAAATCTTTCATTGTAAATAAACCACGTCTCATTGACGCATGTTATCATTTTGGTACATTCTCCATACAATTTAACCATCTCGGTGTATACAATTTAACCATCTCGTTGTATTTACATTCATACTCTTCTGTAGTCTTTGATTTCGGTAACTTTTCCCATATTGTTCTCTGGAACAACTCACCGTGATTTTTGTTGCCCATAAACTTCGTCGTATTTCTGTCAATGTTGCCGTTTATGTGCTATAAACATAACATATGATACGATTGTGAAAACACGTTAGGACATGCTTTTAGTAGACCCAACTCATCAGTCAGGATCACTCCCGGTTCTACTCCGAGCGGGAATATATTTCCTAGACATATTAATTTTCATGCATATGTTTCCTCGTTTTCACGTGATAAAAAAACAACAATAATCATAAAGTTCTTTCCCGCCACAGTAATCCCAATTATTTTCAATAGAGACATCAAACATAATTATCATTTGATCGACTATGAAATATATTATAATATATCAAACTAATATTTAAATAAATATTACCTATTTGTTTTGTAATTTCAATCCATAAGTATAACGTATGAAAATAAAGGCAAATGGTTGATCGAATCGAGGTGTGCAAACATAACGTCTTGCACTGTATCTCCTACTGAGTTTGTTCGATGTCATTTTTTATATATCTGTTTTCACTGAGTTTGTGCCACGGATGTTGTACAACTGTCTTCCCCTTCATTTCCTCTCATAATTTTGCAAATCTATTGTACGGATCCCTGATGCCCATAGACATCTAGATTAGCAATTAGCCTCTCTCAAATGATGTCAAATTTCCTTCGGCTCCCTTCAACTTCGTTATTTCATACTACTCTTTAGTCAAACGATTAGATGAACATAGTCCGTGAGGATATTTATGAGGAAGGTGATTATGATTGCCATTTTTTTTATAGTAAGATGCCAAAAGCCATCACAACCATCTTTACCTCATAACGCAAAAAGACACATGCAATTTATTGTACCTGACTTTTGGCTTGTTTCGACATCTATATTATTTACTCGTCTTTCATAAGCTTTTAGCTTTTACTCGTCAAATATTGTCTACCTTCATGGAAAGACTGGGTGTGTTTAATCTCATGACAATGGCTAAGGGTCGTGTTCATCGCCACTCAACTAATGTGTTTTTACAAACAAACTCAGTCGAAATGTCAAAATATTAACTGTAATCATGTAAATCAAACGTTTATGTATCTTCCTCATCAACATTTATGATTATTTCTTCTTGTCTTGATATAAATATAAATTTATTACAGAATATTATATAAAGAATGTTGGAATTATTTCAATAATTATGTGGGCTCACATTTGTGACGTAAATGTGTATGACTATCTAAAAGAAAGTCCAAATTAGTTGTGATCTAATACAAAATATTGGGTTTGACTTATGAGTTGACTATAATTATGGGCCTAATGTGTAGAAACAATTAGGGTTTAATTGTGATTTATTGATGGGAATCACAGTTGTAATATAACTGCACTCTACAGTTATATAAAGGGTCGTGGTCCCCAAAGAAACGCAACCATTCCGTCTCTTCTAAAATCCATCGTTAGAGAGATAATTAAGGAACAACCATCTTTACCTCATAACGGAAAAAGACACATGCAATTTATTGTACCCGACTTTTGGCTTGTTTCGACATCTATATTATTTACTCGTCTTTTATAAGCTCTTAGCTTTTACTCGTCAAATATTGTCTACCTTCATAGAAAGACTGGGTGTTCAATCTCATGACAATGGTAAAGGGTCGTGTCCATCGCCACTCAACTAATGTGTTTTTACAAACAAACTCAGTCCAAAGTCAAAATATTAACTGTAATCATGTAAATCAAACGTTTATGTAATCATTTATGATTATTTCTTCTTGTCTTGATATAAATATAAATATATTACAAAATATTATATAAAGAATAGATAACAAGAAAAAAGTAGATTAACACAAAAACCGGTTCACATTTTGCGTTATTTCACACGAAATAAAATTAGATTATCGATTTAATTCACACATAATTTTTTTTTTATATAAATTCCGTGTAGTATACACGAAATCGTGTACATATTTCGTGTGCATCTACACAAAATCTTGAAGATTTAAGAAAAATGAAAAATTTACCTCCAAATCAATAATGTTTGGATCCATCTCGATATTTGTTGAATTTCAATTGATTTTTTGAGTTCAATGTTGATTTTAGTGTTCTGGAAGTTGAGAGAGTTCAGAAAAGTTTTGTAAAGGCAAAACTAACATTGGTGAAAAAATGCCTGAAAGTATTAACTTATGCTTGTACATATAAATTATAATAACCACCCAAGAAAAGAATTCTACTTATGGTATTCTTAAATTACATTAAAAATATATTTTGGTTGATGATTTTGAAAGTTTAGACGGATATTTAATATGGAAAGTACAATTTATAGGTGTAAAGTTGATTTAAGCTGGTAATCAGAATTAGAATTAGATTGCCAAACACGCCCTCATGTACCTTTTGGGGACACTGACAGTTAGGACGGTTTATAGGCATTATGACCTCCACTCATATTTCTCCACGAGGCATATCCAATTGCCTTATTATTTAAATATTTAAATATATGGTAAATTCCACTTTCTTCCTTGTACTTTGGTTCGGTAGCACTTTACCCCCTTCTACTCTCGATTGCATCGATTTCCTCCTCTATACTTGAAAAATTGTCTCAATGTGGCTCGTTATTAGTTTCAGACATTTAACTTTAACACCGTTTGATAAGCTCTGAAATTACAAAACCGCCACCTCTCCCAGTTTAAATAATTATTAAAAAAACAAAATAAAAAATAAACAAAAAATAATAAAAAAAAAATTCAAGACAACGAGAAAACATAGTCCACGACGCCAACCACAATTTTTTTTAATTTTTTTTTTAATTTTTTTAATAGGGCAAATGGCAAAAAGGCCCATCACATGGGACTTAAATGCATTTTGGTCCACAAAAAAAACATTCTCTCAATTAAGCCCATCCCCATGTCTTTAGTCTAAAATACCCTCAATAATATAATTCTTATCAATTCCACCCATTATGCTCTAACTTCTTTAATATTACACATTGACCCCGGATTTAAACAAATATATCACATTAACCCCCAAAACTTTTTTTTTCAGAAAATAATTTTTTTTTCTGAAATGTTTTTTTTCCGGCCAGATTCCGGCGTTGACTTTTTTTTTTTGATTTTTTTTCTTAGATTAAAAATATTGTAATTAATATTACTGTCTTGGCTACTAAATTACTGTCTCAGATAGTAATATTACTGTTTGGGACAGTAATATTATGAATATTATTTTTCCGAACAGTAATATTATTAATATTATTGTCTAAGACAATTAAATTACTGTTGGAGACAGTAATTTAACATCCAAGGCAGTAATATTAGTTAAAATAATTTTTTTAAAGGAAAAAAATTAAAAAAAAAAGTCAATTAACAGTTAAATTACTGTCTCCGACAGTTAAATAACTGCCGGAGACAGTAATTTAGCAACGAATACAGTAATATTAATTAAAAATATAGAATAAAAAAGTCAATTAACAGTTAAATTACTATCTCCGACAGTTAAATAACTGCTGGAGACAGTAATTTAGCAACGAATACAACAATATTAATTAAAATATTTTTGAAGAAAAAAAAAAGAGTCAATTAACAGTTAAATTACTGTCTCCGACAGTTAAATAACTGCCGGAGACAGTAATTTAGCAGCCAAGACAGTAATATTAATTAAAATATTTTTTTTAAGAAAAAAAAAAAAAAAGTCAACGCTGGATATCCGGCGGTCAACGGCAGTTGACCGGCCGAAAAAAAATTCAGGAAAAAAAATTTCAAAAAAAAAAAAAAAAAAAAGTCAACGGCGGCGACCGGCGGTCTCCGGTGGTGGCGGGTCAAAATTGAAATTAGGGTTAAAATTGGTTAATTGATGAAATTGGGGTGTAAATCATGAAATTGGAGTTAAATTGAGTTTCAATGAATTGTGGGTAATTTTGGTATATATAAAAGGATTTTCCTTATTTGCAAATAAGTTTGAATGGGTTGGATTTATTTGAAAGACAAAAAACTTGGATGTCCCTCTTTTAATTAAGTGCACTTGTCATGGGCCTATTTGTCATTACCCCTTTTTAATAATTATTTAAACTAGGAGGGGTGGATTTTTTGTAATTTTCAGATTTAGATCAAACGGTGTTAATGTCAAATGTCTGAAAACTAACGGCGAAAGCCACCTTGAGAAAAAAATTCAAGTACAGGGAGGCAAATCTATGCAATCGAGAATAGAAGGGCTAAAGTGATATCGAGCCAAAATACAAGAGGAAATGGAATTTACCCTTTAAATAATTAAATAAATTAAATATATATATATATATATAATATTATATAATAAAGTTAAAGAAAACATATTTTTTGAGATATATTAATATACTCACTCGTATACCGACGCATCCCGCCCGATTTTCTCTCTCTCTGTATCTCTCTCTCTTTCTCGCTGGCTCCTCTTATTTCAGTTTACGCGTGGATATGAATCCTTAAATCCGAATTAATTAATTGTTAGGGAAATTCAAATAAACATTTCAATTAAAAAAAAATTAGGGCTTCATCATTGTTGATGTTTCCTTTTAATCAAACCGCAAACCCCTTTCGTAAACGCATTGCCTCTTTTGCAGTCCACGCAAAGTTACTCGGTTTTTTGCAGTTTGCTTAGGTTAATCTCATTTTTCAGTTTTTGGAAAATACTTAACCAAGGTAAGTTTCTTCCGTTCTGAAGAAATGAATTTGCGATTGTCTTCATTTTTTTTAACATTAATTTTTGATTTCACAAGCATCGGAGTTTTGTCGAAATGGGAATTCTTTCGTGTACGAGTTCCGCAATGGTATGATTAGAATACCTAGTACGAGTTTCGATTGTTAAATTTGAGAATTCTGCTTTGTTCTTGCAGTTTCACAAGTTTGAGGGAAAAAAAAAAATTTGGCTTTGTTCGGCACAAGTCTATCCGGACAAACGATGAAGATTATTTGCGTAAAATTGGCGTAATGAAATATCGGAGTTTTGTCGATAGAGTGGAATAGAGATGAACATATCTGCTCTGTTGACCTCTGCCGGTATAAATACAGCGGTATGTGCGGTGCTTTTTTCTCTGTACTCGGTTCTAAGGAAACAACCAAGTCTAGTGAGCGTATACTTTGGACAGAAGCTTTCACAAGTACACTCGAAACGTAACGACCCGTTTTGGTTTGGGAGGCTTATTCCTTCTCCTAGTTGGATTGTCAAGGCATGGGAAGCCTCCGAAGACGAATTATACCTCACTGGGGGTGTCGATTCTGTCGTATTTCTCCGTGCAGTTGTCTTCAGGTGATCGATCGTGTTTAATTTTTAAATTTCCGCTCTCGTTTTTCAGAATTTTGTACATAGACTTTTCAAGTGTGGTGAATGGAATGTTGTACCATTCGAGCACAAGTGTGGATAACACTAATCTGTTATAACGCAACTCTGTTGGGAGAATCAGAGCTCGTGGGGAGATACGAAACCCGATTTCAGTTCTCTAGGGTGCTCTCATTTGTTTTATATGTCATAAAATCCGTCTCAAAACCAGTTTCTCGTCCCGGATCATCGGCTGTTACCCGCCAGTTAACCTTTCCTTTTTCAGTTAAAAAAATTTAATGATTGAACCGCACAATTACTTCATCGATTGTTGATCTGAAACCGTCACGAGAATGTGTTTGTTCCTAAAATAAATAAATAAAAAGAAAATAATGTATAGTAATCCGTAAAGAAATTGATTGCGGTGTCATCATATGATTCTTCGTTAAACCTTTTTTCGGCTTCATTGAATATTGCTAATAGTTCAATTGTTGCTTTACCATGTGCAGCATCAGAGTATTCACTGTTGCTGCTATCGTATGCTTGTTTCTTGTTCTTCCACTTAATTATTTTGGTAAAGAAATGGAGCACAAGCAAATTCCAGAGGAACAATTGACCGTTTTCACCATTGGCAACGTCGAGGAAGGCTCAAGATGGTGAGGATAATACATATATTTAATTATCGGCTGAATTTTTATCTCCTGAAAGCAAATAAGAAAATGAGACTTAATGTATTCGTTTTCTTCGACATTTTTCGTCTAATTTTCTCTGTGGCAGGCTTTGGGCACATTGTCTTGCATTATACATCATATCTTGCTGCTCTTGTCTCCTCCTTTACTTTGTAAGGACTAACTCGCCACTGTTTTTTTGTTACATTGAGATACCTCGACGATGTGAATTTTTTTTTTTTTAGTTTTATATAATTTTTTTTTCTCGACTTGTCTTTAGGAATACAAGAACATCACGAAAATGAGATTGACGCATATAACTGCATCTCATTCGTACCCAAGTCACTTTACAGTAATTGTTCGTGCAATTCCTTGGGCCGAGGAAGAATCATATAACGACACTCTGACCAAATTCTTTACGGATTACTACGCATCGAGCTATTTATCAAACCAAATGGTTTATCAGTCGGGAGCCGTCCAGAAATTGATGGTGAGCATCTAAATCGATGTAATGTTTGTTGTCTTCATGGACGAATGTTCTCTTTGTGTCAACCTTAGTTCTACTACCCGTTTCGTAATTATGCATGGTGTTTTCATCAATCCTAAGCTGTTATTGACAAATTAAGTTTATCGTGTGGTGTTGCTACTTTCACTTATTCTGTATTCTTTTTCGGTTATTTGCAGAGTGATGCTGAGAAGATGTATAAGATGATAAAGTCACCCAACATGGAGAAACGCTGCGTACCACGATTTATGAGATGTGGTTTTTGTGGTGGCACTGGAGCAACATCTTTTAAGATCCTCTCCAACGAGCCTAAGATTTCCACAAGGGATAGCTGCTTTGATGGTTCCGATTTGCGGAAAAAGGTCTTACTTAATAAAATTAGCCCCGATATCTACAACGGCCGTAGTGTGCATAATAAATCTTAATATAATAAAAGAAATTGCGTTCTTGACGAACATGCAATGCCTAATGATTCATTCTTGCAGGAGTGTGGAGCTGCGTTGGTTTTCTTCAGGACTCGTTATGCTGCGTTGGTTGCTTCAGAGGCACTTCAATCACCGAATCCAATGTCGTGGGTCACCGACTCTGCTCCCGAACCGTGTGACATTTTCTGGTCAAACTTATCCGTGCCGTACCGACTCCTCTGGATTCGCAGGATTGCTGTTATTGTCGCCTCTATATTTTTTGTGATTTTCTTCCTTATTCCTGTCGTCTTCACACAAAGTCTCGTTCATCTTGATAAACTTACGAAGATATTTCCATTTCTCAAGGATATTATAAAGAGGTAACAAAAAAAAAATCCTAAATGTTGCATCAAAATCACGATTGTTGAAATCTATTTTCCGTGTTTTTTTTCTCTCCAGGAAAGTTATGGAACAGCTGATCAGTGGATATCTACCGAGTGTTGTATTCATTATCTTTCTATATATCGTCCCGCCTTTGATGATGTTATTCTCTACATTGGAGGGAGCCATATCTCGTAGCCAAAGGAAAAGAAGTACATGCGTCAAAGTCGTATATTTCGTCATCTGGAACGTATTCTTTGCAAATATTCTAACGGAGGCCGCTATTGATCATTATCAAGTTTCGATCACAAAGTTGGGGGACGCAAAACATATCCCGAATTTGCTTGCCAAAGCAGTGCCAGCAACTGTGATTTCTTCTTCTTATTAAATTTCCGTTTATCCTATTGTTAGAGTAAATAAACATAAATAACTAAAGTTGCTGTTATATATGTTTTGCAGGCCACATTCTTTATGACTTACGTACTGACATCGGGCTGGGCGAGCTTATCGGTCGAACTCATTCAGCCATTCCCCCTTGTCTGCAACTTGTTCTACAGATTCATTCTCCGGAACAAAGACGATTCATCTTACGGGACATATACTTTTCCGTACCACACAGAAGTTCCGAGAGTCCTTCTGTTTGGTCTACTCGGATTCACTTGTTCCATCTTAGCCCCTCTCATATTGCCCTTCCTCCTCATTTACTTTGTCCTTGCCTTTCTTGTTTATCGCAATCAGGTTCGTTTGCATTCTCATAACAATATGTCTTGATTTGTTCTATTTACTCGGGCATCATTTAATTTTTCGTCTCGCAAAAAAATTGTGTTTCAGATACTCAACGTGTACGTAACAGAGTACGACAGTGGGGGGCTGTATTGGCCTATCGTGCACAACACAACGATATTCTCTTTGGTGCTGACCCAAATAATAGCTTTGGGGGTTTTCGGAATCAAGGAATCGCCTATTGCGTCGGGCTTCACTTTTCCTCTAATCATTTTTACTCTCCTTTTCCATGAGTATTGCAGGCAAAGATTTCACCCCATCTTCGTAAAAACACCTGCACAGGTAACAACAACTCAATATCGATTTTTACATATATAATTTTTTTTTTTCCGGTTATTATGTGACGCAAAATTCTCATGCAGATTGTTATTGAAATGGACCGTAAAGACGAGAATTGTGGGAGAATAGATGAAATCCATATGCAACTGCAATCGGCTTATTGTCAGTTCAGATCAAAGTCCCACAATCTGCATAAAAGTACAGAACATAACAACAAGATTGAGTCTGTTTTGGCTGACAGCATCGAGACAGGTGATATTGTCACGCTCGAAGATCTTGACGACATTACACCAGGTTTGCAACTCAAGTAGATACGTGTGTGTGTATATATATTTATTATATAACCGGAATCTTATGTATTGTTGACAAATATACAGCCGTTTTGGGAAAGAGATCGATTTAAGCACACCCTGATGGATTTACATGAGGAACTATATATATGGGTCTGTTGGTATGCCTATATACTAGTTTACGGTTTACAAAACGAATTGGAGGTTATGTTCCAATATTGGCCGATCGAAAAACATATGATGAACTTGTAAAACTTGCAAAGCCCCGTTTGCTGAAATCTGTCCCGAAATCATTTTGCGAGTTCAGTTTTGTGGCAAAGAAATTACCTCAAAAGATCCATAAATGCTCGTTCAAATTCATTTACCGCAATGTTTTTGAATTCTATGTTTAGCTTAAAGAACATATTTCGGTAGGCAGAGGCATCCCCTTTTAATGTGGTTGAACAAACTACAGTAGCACCTCGATAAATTAATAACCTCGATTAAATAATAGTTTCTCTCAGTCCCGACTCGGTGAAAAAGTATTAAATTATTAACTCGATAATTTAATAATTTGCTAAATTAATAGAATTTCCCTAGTCCCGACTGTATTAATTTATAGAGGTTTAACTGTAGATGATATATTTCTCAATACTAGAGAATGAATTAGTCGAGGAACCAAAACACGTAATTAAACGTTCAGTTACTTTTCGACTATAATCAAATGGTATGAAATTGCGACCACGGGTTATCAATTGTCGGCATGGGCGAATCAAGAATCTTCACCTTTCTAAGCAACTCCAAAAGGAGAGGTATCAAAATGGAGCATCAAACACTCGATTGATGCTTGAAATAATACTTTGATACTTTTAAAAAACTCATATGCTCCAACTCTTAAGGTATTAAATAAATTATCCCTTTTTTCATTGAAAATTTATTGAGATTTTATTTCTTTTTCCCGTTGAAATTGCGAGAGCTATTTTTAAAGAATATTTGATTCCTCTCTTTTTTGGGTGCATTTTTGCAACCCGAGGAGGTTGAGTATCAAACTAACTACCACTTCAACACCTCCATTGGAGTGAAATATTTTGAATGTTGGGAATCAAAATGGTAGTTTTGTAATTTGATACTTCATTTGGTCCTCCCACTCGGATGGCAAAATATTAAAATGGATCATCAAATACTAATTTGATGCTCATTTTTTTTTTATACTCATTTACTTCAACCGCAAGCATTAAATGAATTATCAAATTTTAAAGATAAATGTAAATAAATTTAAAATTGACACAATTCAATTCATGATAGATTTTTTGGGTAGTTAATATTTTGATACCTTATCTTCAGGATGCACTTTTGCATCTTCGGACTTTGAATATCAAAATAATTATCAATTTAATTTCTACACTGGAGATGAAAATTTAAATTTTGGAGTATAAAAATAGAAGTTATACCATTTAATTTTCCGTTCTATTATATTTATGTCACTAAATTATAACATGAAAGGATCATGGTCAATTGTGCAAAAATGCCTACCGAAAAACCAGAAATCTATATGCAAGTGTCTCTTCACACACAATCTCTTCTAAATCTTGGTGATTTGTTTCTCTTCCTTATCGAATCACGTACATATTAAATTTTTGAATATAATTTATTTTATATTAAACAATGTTCAAGAGTTGTTTAATGATAGATAACGGGTGAATTACAGTTAGACCATCTTCTACTGAAAACAAACCAAAAGATGCATGTATTTATGTCTTTTTATATTTTTCAGAAACAATTATCTCACAGTACGTTTTCAGAAGTTATAGATAAACAATTCCATGTATTTTCGACTTTCAACCTCCGATTTTTTTTTACATTTTCGGCACCAATCTTTTTCAACATATAACCTCTTAAGTTTTCTTGTTTTGCCAACATATAAACTCCGAAAGTTTTGCAAATTGAAGTACCAAACTTGTAGGAATCCGTTGGTTGCCGAGGACGCAAACATTATTTTTTTCAACAAAAGATCGAAATTTTTATGTCCAAAATGACTCGACTTTCTTTATGCGTCTATAAGACTATAACGGCTTAATCACACTTTGCATCCTTGAAATATATCATTTTGGCACTTTGCACCCTTGAAAAATAACAATAGCCCTTTGTACCCTCAAAACATAATAAATCATTCACAATGCACCCTTAATTGAATGATAAAGGATAATTCATTTTTTTATTGATTTTTTTTCTGGGGTGCAAAATAACAAATTAAATTGTTATTTTCTTCAACCTTCAACTTACTTTCGAGCGCACGTGCGAGAAAATATAAATCACACCTGATAATTGAAAGAAAAAAAATTATATTTTCTTAAAACTAAAATCAAATAAACTTTTATCAGTAAATTATTCGATTCATAGATATTTTATTGTGTTGGTGGAAATCTTGGGTAAAAATATTTGGAAGAAATATGATTTTTAGATAACTTGATAACAATATAGCTGAAGGATTTTTTTTTTTCGTGAAATATTTTTTTGTGATAAAAAATATAAGTTTTCAATACCACAAAAAAATATTAAATTATCTTTATTAGGTTTAAAAACTCATGTGGGGTGCTTATGCATTATATATTATGTTTCGAGGGTGCAAATTGCTATTAATTTATTTCGAGGGTGCAAAGTGTCAAAATAGTATATTTCAAGTGATGGGGCCCATTTTGGCAGGCTTAGGCTGGGCCCAAGTAAGTGGGCTAGAGGAGGAAACACGAGCTTGACCGGCGGAGTTTGTACGAATTGGTGGCCCAAATTAGGCCTTAGCTCGTATGACAAGGCGCGGATTGCATGGGAAGACTCAGAGAAGAAGGAAAGAAGATATCTTATATAAGGAAAGGAGATAAAATCGGATTAGTTAAGAAGGAAACGTGTAATTTAGAGATAATTGGTTCATTACACACCTCTTGATAATAGGAAAATATCTAGAATATTAACTCACCTATATAAACACATGTAAAAATCCTCATTAGGCATACGTTTTTAATACATCAATAATATATTTCTTTATTTTTTCTCTACAAACTTTATTTTATTCTTTGTACATCTAGCCACCGCTATCCGATTCGGCTAGTGGTGGATTCTCCGGCAACTCTCAAAGTAGGTTTCGGAGAAGGTCTTGAGGGTGCGAAATTCGAGAACTATCAGGTGGCGCCGTTTGTGGGGAAAAGAGTCGGATTAAGGCGTTGAGTTTCTAGAACTGTTTGAATTAGATATCCAAAATACTCGAGCGAAGTATTTCATTAATGTTTCTGAATTGATTAATTCATTTGAAGAATGTCAACCTTATTTGATTATTTGAGAATTCCCTATGTTTTACTGGTCGCGGAATTATATTACTATTACGTGATGGGGCGTGCTAAATTCTACACTAAAATTTACTAAATTCCACAAATAAATTAAAAAAATATTCTCTCTCTAATCAAAATTTCTCTAACTTCTCTTCAAAATGATTTTATCCAAATCACTCAAAATTTATTATTTTTTTACGTGAATAATCAGAAAAAATGAGTTCCATTTTATTTAATATTTATTCAATTTCATTAAGCATTTTTAATTATTCAAATTCATATGAATTCGAGTTTTTTCCTCAAATTCCAACTTTATTTTAGTTTGAACATGTGAAGATTTTTGTCAAATTCGAACTTGGAATGCTAAGGATGTTTTCAGTGTGTGATTTTGTGAAAAAACTAGGGAAAAAGAAGAAAGACATGGAAGGAGAAAAAAGATTTTAGAGAAATAAATATTTTTAGTTATGTGCATGATTTGGTAAAAATAGTATGGAATTTAGCATTTCAGTTACGTGATTTGCAAAAGAAAAAAAATGAGAAAAGGGGAAAAAGAAAAAAAAGTGGGCACTCACAAATTCATAATATCTTAGGGGTGGCCTATATGCATTCTTGTATGATTATTTAATTGATTTTATTAAAACCAAAATAGCATCTTGTTTGAAAATTTTGATGAATCTGTTGTCTTCTTTATTCATTCTAATATGCCACTGAAGGCACTGGAGAACAAATTGAATAAAAATGAGGCGTATTGACTGCATCGATTTCTCGAACTTGCAGCTATTTCACTATAGTCTTTAGCTACGACCTCGAGGATTGGTTTTTTGTAGCCTGCATTCATTCTATAGAGCTCGCATCAATCCCTTACGTTTCGAACTCATGAAAGCTCGTTTCGCCATAGGCGCAAGATAAGTTTTTCCTTTAGCCTCAATATTTTGCAGAAATTCTTTATAAAGTTTTTTCTACATTTAAATTTGAAATTTGCATGATATGTGAATTGTAGTGCTTCTCAATTGTTCAAGAAGATTGCATGTACATCTTTGCTATATATCTTGTATCAAACAAGAACTATATGCCGAATAGCTTATGTGATACCTATCTTAAAAAAAATTATAAATTAAATCGGTTGCTCGCTATACGACTCATTACTATCCCTTATAGCATGGATCTATTGAAACTTGAATTTATATCGAGCTCACATTAATAGGGCAAGTATGCTTCAATTTGACTTCTTATGAGGTTGCATTTGAGTTTGATAACCCCCGTTTATTTAAGGATACTCGCATTTGTCTTTTTAAAACTACAATAAATACCTATTTCTCTCAAGGATTCACCTGTCATGAAACCTAATGAAGCATTGCGATAAATTATTGACTATACCATCCTTTCAGAATTTTACTTCAATATCTTAGTACATGACTCCACAACTTTGAGCTTGTTCGCTGATGCTTGAATTTATTTAAGCTCGTCTTTATTAAAGTATAAATTATCTAAAAGTATCTCGAAAAGTTATTATATGCTTGCATATGTCTCTAAAAGTTCGCAGTTATCTGTCAAAATTAAATATTCTTAAAGAATAAATTCTTTTGATTCAATTTATCTTAAGCTCAATTATCTATTAGATTCCATCATATGCATGAGCTCGCATATGTATCTTCATTATATGTTTTATATTAAAAATAAAATAAAAAAAACAACAAGTTCGCTAAGGGTTGGAAGATCCCCGCGGCTTCGGCCCAAAATGTAGTTAAAAGTGTTTAAAAGGGTTGGAAGATCCCCGCGGCTTCGGCCCAAAAGGTAGTTGAAAGTGTTTGATAAAGGTTGGAAGATCCCTGCGACTTCGGCCTAAAAGGTAGTTGAAAGCGTTTAAAAGGGTTGGGAGATCCCCGCGGCTTCGGCCCAAAAGGTAGTTGAAAGTGTTTAAAAGGGTTGGAAGATCCCCGTGGCTTCGCCCAAAAGGTAGTTGAAAGTATTTGAGAAGGATTGGAAAAATCCCGAGGCTTCGGCCCAAAAGGTAGTTGTGTTCGGCCGATAAGTCAGTTATAAACGTTCGCACAGTTGAGCTCATTACGCTCGTTTGAACAACATATTAACCACTTATGGTTATGAAAATCAAGCAAAAAAAAAAAACAATAATATTCAATAATCGCGTGTTTCGAAAACAAACATAAAACGTAAAGGCTCCGCGAAAAGCGAAAACGGATAACTTAAGCTAAAAGCAAGCGAGAAAGGAAAAAAAAAGGAAAAAAAAGGTAATGGTTGATTTCTGACTTTTCATATTCTCAAGCGAAGGTTCACTAGAGAATAGAGGGGAGTAGACGATGGGGCCCATTTTGGTAGGCTTGGGCTGGGCCCAAGGAAGTGGGCTAGAGTAGGATACACGAGCTGGGCCGGAGGAGTTTGTACGACTTGGTGGCCCAAATTAAGCCTTAGCTCGTATGACAAGGCGCGAATTGCATGGGAAGACTCGGAGAAGAAGGAAAGAAGATATCTTATATAAGGAAAGAAGATAAAATCGGATTAGTTAAGAAGGAAACGTGTAATTTAGAGATAATTGGCTGATTACACACGTCTTGATAATAGGAAAATATCTAGAATATTAACTCACCTATATAAAAACACGTAAAAACCCTCATTAGGGTTACGTTTTTAATACATCAATAATATATTTCTTTACCTTTTCTCTACAAACTTTATTTTATCCTTTGTACATCTAGCCACCGCTGTCCGATCCGGCTAGTGGTGAATTCTCCGGCAATGCTCAAAGTAGGGTTCCGGAGAAGGTCTTGAGGGTGTCAAATTCGAGCACCATCAGCAAGGGTGCAAAGTGCCAAAATAGTATATTTCAAAGGTGCAAAATGAGATTAAGCCCATCAATAACCATACACCACATGTCGTTTTTTGTTGAAATAAGTGGTGTTGCTTCTCTGTCGGCGGCGGTGAAGTCTTCTTTCTTCTCCGGTGCGAATGAGTCTACTTCACTGTCGGTGGGAGCATCGCCGACAACAATAAAATGGGGCGACAATAGGGTGGGGCTGTGGGGAGGTGCAGGGGCGCACCGTGAGGCATTTAGGTGGGGGCCTAAGCTTATGATAAAAATAATGAAAATATAAACAACATAAAAATAAATAAATAAATAAATGTGGTTTTATAAGAATATATTTGCAGAAATATTTGAAAGAGTTTTTATTTTCACACATTTGCATCACTTACATAGATTACATTATATAGAGTTATAGGCTAACAGTTTGCCGAGAAATCCTAATCTCTAGTTACAACAAACTCCTAGATATTTGTACATAGTTGAAGTCAATCTTTTCAAGGAGTCATCAATCCCGTGGAGTGTGAGCTGGAGAGTTAGTTTCGGAAATCTCGGACTCTCTTTGAATATCTGTTTCAACATGCCCCCGCAATCGAATGGGAAGATCTTGGACATGGAGATTGCTTTTTAACAACATAAAACGTGTAGCACTCAAAGGTTTGGTGAGAAGGTCTGCAATTTGATCATTGGAAGAGATGAAACAAACAGAAAGTTGTCGTGCAAGAACTTGATCTCGAACATGATGAAAATCAAGTTCAACATGTTTAGTTCTTGCATGAAAGACGGGATTAGCGCTCAAGTACGTTGCACCAATATTGTCGCACCATAAGCGCGGTGAAGCAGAAAGTGGCAGGCCAATTTCGGAGATAAGTGATTGAATCCATTGTACTTCGGCGGCAGTGTTAGACAAGGATTTATACTCAGCCTCGGTGCTGCTTCGAGCTATGGTAGGTTGTTGTTTACACGTCCAACTGATAAGATTGTCACCATGAAATATACAATAAGCACCAATAGAACGTCTATCGTCTGGATCAGAAGCCCAGTCAGCATCAGTATATGCTTGGAGCTCATGAGAAAAGGTTCTGGATAAAAGCAAACCATTCGAAATGGAATGCTTAAGATATCGTAGTATTCGTTTCACAGCTTGCCAATGAGGAACTCTTGGTGAGTGCATGAATTTGCTGACCCGATGAACACCATAAGCTATGTCTGGTCTGGTATAAGCAAGATATTGCAGGCCTCCCACAATACTACGATAAAGTTGAGCATCCTCGAAAGTGGAACCTTCATATTTAGACAAAGTGCAGTTGGTGGCCATTGGTGTAGTACATGGTTTTACTTTGTCCATACCAGCCCGAACCAAAAGATCAAGGATATACTTTCTCTGAGTCAGCCACAAACCGTGATCAGTTCGGATAGCCTCAATGCCAAGAAAGAAAGATAAATCTCCCAATTCCTTTACAGGAAATTCAGTACCAAGAAGTGTAATATAGTGTTGGATTTTCAGTGCGTCAGACCCAGTGACAATAATATCATCAACATATATGAGAAAATAAACACGTAAATCACCTTGCCGAAGAACATATAAGGAGGTATCAGATTTGCACCCCTTAAAACCGAGAGAAACCAACTTATCTGTTAGACGAGAAAACCAAGCTCGCGGTGCTTGACGGAGCCCATAAATACTCTTTTGCAGCTTGCACACATAGGAAGGAAAGTCTGGATAAATAAAGCCAGGAGGTTGAGACATAAAGACATTCTCATGGAGATTGCCGTGCAGAAAAGCATTATGCACATCAATTTGTTTAATTGCCCAATTGCGTTGCACAGCAATAGACAATATCAAACGGATAGTGACTGATTTTACAACCGGACTGAAAGTATTCGTAAAATCAATACCCTGCTGTTGATGGTAGCCTTTCGCTACGAGACGCGCTTTAAAGCGTTCAACAGAGCCATCGGCTTTTCGCTTGATCCTATAAACCCATTTGCAGCCCACGAGGTTGACATTCGAATTAAGAGGAACAAAGGTCCAAGTGTTATTTTTTAGCAAAACGTCAAATTCTTGGTTCATAGCTTCACGCCATTCATTGTGTTTTACAGCCTCGCTAAAGCATGTAGGCTCGACAAAAGTGTACTGCGTAGTAGCTAGTAGAGCTTCGGGCAAAGGATATTTTAAGGCGAGACCTGCATATGGTGTTTTCCGCTTGAGAGAGTTGGTTCTAGAACGAGTTACCATTTTGATGAGATGGTGCTGCAGCCGTGGTCGCAACCACATAATTTGATTCAGCATTATGGAGGGGAACATCTCGTTCACCATGATCTTGGACATATACATTTGTTATCAATGGTTGAGATGTAGCAGCAGTTGGAGACGGAGTAGTCGTACTAGGAAGAGACATTTGAGGTGAAGTAAAGTTGGCGGAATTTAAAGAGTGTGGTAGGGAAACACTTTCGGAAGAGACAGGATGGTGTTCAGGAGTCGAAACATAAGGAAATAGAGACTCATTGAAGACAACATGACGAGACACAAATATTTTTCCCGTTGTCAAGTCGAGACACTTGTAACCCTGATGACATAGACTATAGCCAAGAAAAATACACGTTTGAGACCGAAAATCAATTTTATGTTTATTGTAGGGTCTTAAATTTGGCCAACACGCACAACCAAAGATACGCATAAAATTGTAATTCGGTTTCTTTTTGTAAACTAGTTCAAAAGGGGATTTTTTATTCAATTTTTTTGTCGGCAAACGGTTAATAATGTATGTTGCAGTTAAAAATGCATCTTCCCAAAAACATTTAGGTAATTTTGAGTGAGCTAGTAAAGCAAGACCCATCTCAACTATTTGCCGATGTCGCCTTTCAACAAAACCCATTTGCTCATGTGTGTGAGGGCAATAAATACGGTGAGCTATTCCACATGATTTAAAATAGGTATTTAGTCGTCTATATTCGCCCCCCAGTCTGTTTGTATAGCTGTTATTTTAGTATCAAAGTGTCGCTCGACAAGAGCTTGAAATTGTAGAAATATTGACTCAACATCAGACTTTTGTTTAAGAGGAAAAAACCATATAAACTTGGTAAAATGGTCAACAAAGCAAACATAATAACGGGAACCATAAGTAGATAAGCAAGCAGCAGGACCCCAAACATCTGAGTAAATTAATTCAAGAGGTTTGGAAGAGTTAAATTCAGAAGAAGTAAAGGGAAGATTATGGCTCTTAGCCATCTGACAATCAGAACAAACATTATGTCTCTTATTCTTGACAATAGGAAATTTATTTGTAGAAATAACGTGCTGAACAATAGGAAATGAAGCATGGCCAAGGCGATTGTGCCAGTCGGAGACGGATAAATGAGTACCAACAAAGGCAGTAGGGGAGGACTTCTGAAAAGACGGCGAAAAACAATATAGGCCATCCGAAAGACAACCTCTATGTTGGATGTTCCCCGAGTAATCCTTTATGAGAAAAAAATAATCATGAAATTCAAAGAAAACATGATTATCTTTAGCAAATTGATGAACAGATAAAAGATTTTTAGTAATGGCAGGCACTACAAGAATTTGATCTAAAAGAAAAGAATGAGAAGGAGTAGAAATTTTGGAAGAACCATGATGAGAGATAGACAAACCTGCTCCGTTTCCAACCTGAATCTCATCTGAACCTTGATAATCCTCACTGCGAAGTGTGAGTTTGTTCATATCCGGAGTCATGTGATGAGTTGCTCCCGTGTCAGGATGCCAAACAGAGTCTGTGGTCGGCGAGGCCGAGGCAAGCATAGCACTTGGACCTTTTGGTTTATAGGAGGATTGGAAAGTGACGTCAAACCTATGATAACACTTGTGGACAGTATGACCATGTTTTTCACAAAGCTGACACCATAAGTTTGATCTTTGAACTACACCAGAGTTGTTTCGGTTGAAGGAATGATGGTTACTGGCACTGTAACCTCCACGGCTGTTATTGTATCCTCCTCTATAGGACTGATTACCACGGCTTAGAGGACCATTAGAAAAACCGCGACCCCGACCACGAGGTGGATCGAAAGATCGAGCAGCCACATTAACACTTGCTACAGAGAGTGCCGAGAGTGGTTGATTGTTGTGTAGAATCCGAGCTTCAGTTGTGAGAAGCATAGAATAAACCTCTTCTAGAGTGATACTTTCACGACCAACAATAGTATTAACCAAGGGATCATATTCCGGTCCAAGACCAGCCAAGATATAAGTGATTATATCATCCGAAGTGAGTGCCTGGCCAGCCATAGATAGTTGATCTGCGAGTTTCTTGATTTGCACGAAGTAATCTGTAGCAGAGAGATGACCTTTGCGAGATGTAGCTAATTGAGACCGAACTTGGACAACCTTGGCTCTAGATTGAGAAGCAAAACATGTTTGAAGTGCAAGCCAAATGGCATGGGAGGTTTCAGATTGATAAACTTGGGCAAGAACTTCTTCGGTGAGAGAAGAATTAATAGTGCTAAGAATTAGATTATCTTGTTTGGTCCAGAGAGCGAATTCGGGATTTGGAGTTGAGGTGCCATTGACGGTAAGAGTTGCAGGTGGTGCTTTAATTGTTCCATCGACATAACCGAAGACTTCTTGGCCTTTTAGGTAAGGAAGCATTTGCGCTTTCCATATGGGATAATTTGTGCGAGTAAGTTTAGTAACATTAATGCTAGAAGAAGGATTAAAGATGGGAAGGGATGAAGTGTTTGTGGCAGATGCAGTAGACATGGTGGAAGAGAAAAGAATTTACGACGTTTGTCAATACCCAGCTGATACCATATAATAATATATTTGCAGAAATATTTGAAAGAGTTTTTATTTTCACACATTTGCATCACTTACATAGATTACATTATATAGAGTTATAGGCTAATAGTTTGCCGAGAAATCCTAATCTCTAGTTACAACAAACTCCTAGATATTTGTACATAGTTGAAGTCAATATTTTCAAGGAGTCATCAATCCCGTGGAGTGTGAGCTGGAGAGTTAGTTTCGGAAATCTCGGACTCTCTTTGAATATCTGTTTCAACAGGTTTAATTTTTTATTTTTTTTTTGACAATAAAACAAATCTTCAAATAAATACGTCCAAAATAATACAATCATTTAAGTTGTGCTCTACGTTTTTTCTTCGAATAGAATTCATCTATTATTGAATATCTACTAAAAAGATCAGCAATTTCCCTTTCAATATGTAGAATCATGCAATCTCCAAAGAACCCATCTTTTATTTTGTTCAGAATTCTAGTTTTGGTAAGTTTCATAACAGAAAAAGCTCGTTCTGTGGTAGCAGTAGACACCGGAAGAAGTAAGATCAAATAAATCAACCTATCAACTAGATAATATACTTTGGATTTTTCCGTCTTTGTTAATCCTTCGCATAGTGCTGCAAGAGTAGACAAATGATATAGGTCTTGATGCTTAGTCATGTCAAGATGATAATGTTGCAATTGAAACTTAAGGAGGAGCTTATCTTGTTTTGTGAAATCTGCAGGATAATATTTATCAACAAGAGTGCAAATATCATCTACTTTAAAGGACTTGAATGAATCACTTGGGTCCAAAGCACAACTAAGAGTTAAAAGTTCCATTGTTTGCTCATTAAATCTGCAATTTAACTCTTTCATTTGTGTGTCTATGGTATTCACAAGTATATCAAAATGAAAATGATGCTCCATCGTGATATTAGTATCTCGTGGCTGGTGAATCGACTTCTCCCGACCTACTTTATTACTTTGGCAAAACAAATTAAGATCATTTAAAAAACTATCCCACCCATCATCTCTCAAATTTTGAAGAAGTTGTTTTGTTGTTGAGACTAAATGCATAGCATTCAATATGTCTTGGGATCGTTGTTGCAAAGCGTGACAAAGAACATCTGTAACTCCCATTATCCTTTCCATCAAGAGTAAGATAAAAACAAATTGAAAAGATGTCATAGCAGTATAAGCAGAATCAGCGTCACCGCGTTGGGAATAATTTGCTCCATCAGATATAATGGTTTGAAGCACACTCCCAGTAGCACTAAACATTTTCTTCAAGCTACACACAGAAGAAAAATGGGAACCCCACGAGTATTTCCAGCTCGTTGTAAATTGCCAATTTGATTAGCTCCATTACCAGTTCCAAGTTCATTAACAGATATCAAACGAGAAATTTCAGCTTGTTGTGCAGTTATTAACTCACTGGTTCTCTTACAAGAAGCGCCCACAATATTACAATGGAGTCCAACTTTGAAAAAAATAATGAACAAGAATTACCTCTCTTAATACCGCAACTAATGTCAACTGAAGTCGATGAGCAAAACAATGTACGTAATATGCATACGGGCAATCTTTCAAAAATAATGCTTGTAACATGTTCCATTCGCCACGCATATTGCTTGCACCATCATAACCCTGCCCTCGAAGATTGTCAATACTTAAAGCATGATGAGAAAAAAATGTTGAAAGTTCGTTTTTAAGAGTCAACGAAGTTGTGTCTTTGACGCTTACGATATCAAGGAAACGTTCTTGGAGAACACCTATTTTATAAACAAATCTTAAAACAAGAGCCATTTGTTCCTTTTTTGATTCGTCTCGTGCCTCATCAACAAGATACAAAACTTAGAGTCACCAATATCTTCTCGAATTTTATTTCTCACTTTAGATGTACTTGGCAGTGGGAGGAGCTTTATCTAAAACATTTGGAGCTACTTTTTCATTATAATTTGCCAAAAGCTTCACCATCTCGCGAAAATTACCTGAACTTTTCGACGTTGGGCCTTCATTGTGGCCTCGAAAAGAACATGATTGGTATGCAAGCCAACGAACACAGTCAATTGAGGTTTTAAGCCTCAAACGATTATTCAATACTTCTTCTGATGACTGTCTTTGCAAGACCTTGTCTATATGAGCAGATTGATTCATTATATTCTCCCATGATTTTAAAGAGGCACGATGCTGGGAGTTATGGCATCCAATATGGCGTAAAAAAGCACAATTTTTTTCTTTCATTTACTTTCTTCCAATTTCGAAATCCTTCCACCATAAATGTATTCGCGCCAAAACGTACATTTGTCTCACTAGCAAAAATAAAGAATGACAAACATAAGCAGCATCTTTACTCGGAGAATACTCTAACCAAGCCAGAAATTGGGAAAACCATGAATACTGGAATCGTCGACGATAGCCCTCACTACCTGAATAAGGATATTCGGGTAAATAAAATTGATATGCCCCTAACTTAGGTATTATTTATAAATACTCAAAACATAGATAAAAAAGATATTTAAACATAATTATATCTCCATCATATATATATCCTAATAACATAATAAAAATTTAATAATAATAAGATCATAATACATAAATATGCTTCCTTATAAAATATAAATAAAAAGGCATTTTTTTTTAAATTACATACATTCCTAGCATACATTATTAGTTCTTTAACAATAATAGTTAACATAAACAAAATAAAAAATAAACTCATTTTTTTTATTAAAATCCCAAATTTTATTTTGAATTATAAAATAAAAAAATAAAAACCGATTTTTGACCGATTTTTTGCCGATTTTTGCCACTGAAGTTTGACCCGCCTTAAAGGTTTGACCGCCTCGGACCGCCTCAAACCGCCTAAGACCGCCTCACAGGCAAAAAACCGAATTTTCAAACATTTTCACTAAAATCCTAAAGGTTTTGGACCGCCTCCGCCTCAGAGACCGATTAATCGGCCGCCTCGGCCGATTTTTAGAACACTGGTATCAGTATACGTATCAGTATTAATATCAATATTTGTATTAGTATTCGTATCAATATTGATATCAGTATTGGTCTCGGTATTGGTATTAGCATTGATATCAGTATTGGTAGTGGTGTATACATCTTATCTGTTTTGCAATATTTATAAGTTGTATTGTTGTTTGAGTAATGTGCATCACTAAGTCAACGTTGTTAGTTATCTATTGTGTTACTTCATTGCTACCGTGTTTGTTGCTAAGTTAGTTATTTTGCAGAAAATTCACATGGTGTAGTAGATTGCATTCCATGAAATAAAGTTATACCATATGTTTTAAATGATTTCACTTAATCTTAATTTCGTGTTTTGTGCGTTTCACGTTTTCTTCTTTGTAATATTTAATTGAATTTCATATATTACAACTCTGGATATAAAGTTTATGTTTTTTTATTTCCTTCTATTTTATTTTAGTTGAATTGATGTTGTTATAAAGAGACAGTCGTTTACATATTTTTCTCATTTTAAACTGACATCCTTGCAACGTACGGAAGTACTACTTAATTCTTAAAAATATATCTAGTGTCATAAATTGGATTTAATTAAATAAAATGTAATAAAGAGCACAAATAATCAATGCAACTTTACACCCGAAAAAAATGAACCGGGAATACTTGTGCAATTGTAGCTTAAGTAAGATATTTAAAGATGATTTTAGAAATAAAATATTCACTTAAACTATCTTTTACTTTCAAACATTGTTCTAAATATCGATCGTAGCTGTTGATATATCGGTTGCCATATCGATGGCGGTCATAAATCTTTATGATATTGGTGAGGCGGTTTGAAAATTCGATTTTTGAACGGTGAGACAGGTTGAGGCGGGTCAAACCGATGTATCGGGTCAATAAATTGTAAAAAAATATCAAATTTTTTTAATTGAAGGGAAAATAGGGTAGGGTTTTATTTTTCCTTTCCAGTTTCAACGCAACTTCTTTTAATCAAAAAAAACCAAACTAAATCACCACCCCCTAAGAAAGAAGAACCTGACAAAACTTACTAACCGAAAACCAACCACACTCGTGGCTGCTACAGACTGAGATGGTGTTTGACGGCGGCGGTAAGCATCGGTGGGGATAAAATCATGCAATTAAATATTTTTTAATATATATTTTCAGTATTGATATGTCTAATTGGGCCAATTCAATGGGTCTATAATTTCTTTATCTATTGTGCCACGAGCCCAATGTTGAAGAGCACTGCCACCGATGCCCAATCACCTTCAAATAAGGTTTTGCCCCGACCATCTCAACTAATTAAACTTCAGCCCAATCAATGAGGTATAAATAAATGTTTGAACTCATTCCTTAAGGTACGTCCTATTATCTGAGTAATACTACTCACTGACTCTCTGGACTATTTCTACTATCCGTATGTCTGACATGAGTGTCGGAGGGGTTTCCGCCGGATCAAACCCCGGCCTAGTTCACGTGTTCTATGATCGCAGGTATCTCAAGGTTGTCAAGCTGGTGAGCTAGTGATCTACTCTGCTCTTCCAGCTCATCCTACTTCAACTATCTAAGGTGATCTAACTTTAGCATCATCAAGTATATACAAATAATATTTAGAAATATATTACCATAAATCTAAACCGATTTATTTTCGATTATTCACTGCCGGACTGATTTATCGTATGGCGGTCCGGACCGCCTCAAACCCGATAACTGCATTTAGAACCTTGCTTTTTAAATAAGATTTTACAAAGACGACGTTGTAAACACAAGTATTATTTTGCAAAAACTAAAAATTATTTTGCGAAAACAAAAAAGTATATAATTATATTAATTAAACACAACGTTAAAAAAAAATAATAACTGCAGAAATGAAGACACGAATCTTTTGATATCTCAGGGAAGGGTGTCACCATATATTTACACATAATTGCACACAGTAAATAAATAGTTACCATTATATTATACATTTATGGTGGGATTTACAGTATGTACGTAGGATTAAATTAATGGGATTAAAATTTGAGACACAAACACCTCAATCTTTCACTTGTGTTTGTTTGGCGTTAACGAGTCGTCTCAAAATCAATTTTCTCTCTCACACAGCACACGTAGTAGGCGCACACACACAACACACGTACGTACGTACACACACGCGTTTGAGCAACTACTCTTGAATTGATGACCAGAATTGTTGCGCGTTCAAAGTTTGATGTATCAAAACAAACACCCCCACAATACAATCTGTTGTAGCGGGGCGGCTGTTTTTGCTTTTTCTAGAAAAAAATAAAGCTGATTCCCTTTTTATTAGAGAGAGAGAATCTGTTACAATTCTAGAGAGAGAAAGAGAGAACAAAATGAATCACTTATTACAATTTTTTTTCATTTTCTTTTTTGTTTAATTTCTCATAGCGTGATTCCAACGTTGCTTGTCTGAACCTTTTCCCTTTGCCCAAAAACAACTTCTCTCTCATGTTTCGCTTTCTCTCTCTCTCTCTCTCACACACATAACACACACACACACAAACACACACAGAAAAGCGTAATTGCTGGGTTATCTTGGAATTTCGGAAACAGGGTGCATGTCATTTTCGCGGGGAGGGGTAAATGGGTAAATTAAAAAGAATGTTCTTTCCTTTGTGTAACTTGGCTTTATTTTTATGATTAGTATTTTGGCTCTCTTTATTTGTGGGCGAGAGATAGAGAGAGAGAATTTGGGGGGTTTTGGCCGGGAAAGAGAAAATCCGGTCTTGGTCCGGTTTTTGCGGTGATAAAAAACAAAACCCATGAGTAATGAAATTTTTTAAGAGAAAATTAGAAATTGATTTTTGATAAAAAAGACTCGTGGTGGTTTTTGCCAATGTTTTTGTCCAAACGTCAAACTATAGCAATACCTCTTTTATTTCCTCTTTCCATTTCTCTCTCTCTCTTCTCTCTCTCTCTCATAAAAGAGAGAAAATCCCGTCAATCTCTCTCTTCCTCTCCCTCATAAATTTCCTCCTCTGTTTTTCCCCTCCTCTTTTCTTCCTTTCTTTCTTCTGGGCTTTGCTTTGATTCTCTGTTTTCAAAAAAAAAAAAAAAAAAAGAGTTGGGGGAGAGAATCAGAGTAAACTGTTCATCTCCCTCCCTCTCTCTCTCCTCTTTTCTTCTCTCTCTAGAAAAAATTAAGAAAATGGTATCAATGAGGACAAACCTTGAAAGCTTCTTGGGTTGCACAACACCCGTGGTCCCATCTCAATTCCTTTCCAAGGTTTCTTTTTTTCTTCTTCTTCTTTCTGCAATTCATACATACATTTTGTCTTAATAATTTCAGTTCTTTGATTGATTTATTGTTTTTAATTTAAAAAATAAAATAATGGGATTGATTGTAGAGCGAGACGAAGAAGCTGAATAGGCTATGGCATCCATGGGAAAGAGAAAAAGTAGATTACTTTGTACTTTCTGATCTTTGGAATAGCTTTGATGAATTAAGTGCTTATGGCGCCGGCGTTCCGATCATCTCCGACAACGGTCAAAACTTAATCCAATATTTCGTCCCTTATCTCTCTGCTCTCCAAATTTTCACCAGCAATTCTTCTCTTACCTGTTTAAGGTAATAAAATTATTTATTTAATTTTTTTTCTTCCTATTAAATTGTGTTCCCTTATTCAAGTCCAGTTGGTCTAAATTTTATCTATTTTTCCGAAGAAATATGATTGTTAGTGAAGTTGTAAACATGCAAGATCAATACTTAATTTTGATTTGCAATAATGTATAGGGAAGAGACAGAGTCTGTAATAAGCGAAACAAGGGGGGATTCGTATAGCGATTCGTTCAGCGACGAAAGCGAGAGCGAAAAGTTATCGAGGTGGGACGGATGTTCGTCTGAGGAAGGAGATAGCTTTTGGCATCCGAACGAAAGATTGGGTAATCTTTACTTTCAATACTTTGAAAGATCATCTCCTTATGGAAGGGTTCCTCTTAGCGACAAGGTAATTAAACAACGCCCGAATTTACTCGAGAATCAATAAAGGAGATGTTAATTTGTTTTGGATATGATAGAATCGAATTGTATTTCTTTTCTTGATTGATTGGCAAATTGGCATATAATAAAGACCAATACTTTTTTCACTTTTGAAAACGAACCAACATACTTCTTTAAAAAAAATAAAAGTATCGTCTCTGTCGAAAATATTATTGCATTTCTATATTTGAGATTATTTCCTTTCGTATTATAAAACGATCGAAACGTGAAAAATGAGATTTTAATTTATTTAAATTGCTTGCCAGATTAGTAGCTTATCGCAAAGATACCCGGGATTAATGTCATTGCGAAGTGTAGATCTCTCGCCTGCTAGTTGGATGGCTGTCGCCTGGTCAGTATATATCCGAGTAAATATGGAATGAATATTAATTATGGATTATCCGAGTAAATTAATATATGTAAATTAATTACAAAAAACGACGCGCAGGTACCCTATCTATCACATTCCGAAGGGTCAAACCATTAAAGACTTGCAAACATGCTTCCTTACTTACCACACCATTTCTTCTTCTTTTCAAGGTACGACGATGAACGAACCTTTTTTAATTATTTCGTAAAATAGATTTTATGGAAGTATTTATATAAGGTAATGAATGGTGTGAATAATGATAGATGTGGACGAGATTGAAGAGGAGGTGGAAATGAAAGAAAAGGAAGGGGAAAGAATAGCGGTCCCACCGTTTGGTATGGCGACGTATAAGATGCAAGGTGATATTTGGTTATCGGAAAACAAGAAGGGTACCGACGATAGAGAGAGGATAGTGTCTCTATTGAGTGTGGCCGATTCTTGGCTTAAGCAATTACGAGTCCAGCATCACGACTTCAATTACTTCATAGGAAATCGCCATCCTTAAAAAACAAAACAACCCCATCACAACATGTTTAATCAAGACTTGTACAAAATCGGAGTTTAACTTGTGTTTTTTTTTTTTTTTTTTTCCCGATAGTTTTAGCATAAGTGAGACTATAAATCGCGACGTTGGTTTTTGCGAGTTATATGAAAGGAGAGGGAAGTCCTTGGGGGATGTTTGTTTAACTGTGGACTAGTTGTTGTGCAATTGAACAATGTTTTTCGGGCTTTTGCGCATTTTCTTTTACTATAGTAAATTTTCGCTACTTTTTTTAGACATGATAACTAAATTTTAATTATGCTTTTGTTGATAATAGTTGAAATTAATATGCTCAATCCATGCCATTTCTTTCTCTTTAGCAAAATTTTTAGATGTCAATGAATGATTATTCTATTACAATAATAGATTTTTGTCGATTTAGTGGTCCAATTTGAATTTATTATAACCATTATCTTACTTACACCAAATTTTTGGTATACCGAAATTTGTTAATGCTACTGGTATAGATAATTTTGTCATTATATTTTTTGAACATTACTTTTGGTCTTCCAAAGTTTTTGTAAATATGTATTTTAGCAATTTGTTTTTTCATAATCTTTTATTTATTTATTTATATATATATATATATATATATATATATATATATATATATATATATATATATATATATATATATATATATATATATGGTAAAACTTGTATTATTTTAAATGAAGTTTATGAACATGTACTTATTTTTTATTTATTTTTTATCAATACCTCTAAATCATAATCTCGGATGATGCTCAAATCCCTAAAGAATTAAGTTCAATACATTATTAGAATAATCTAGACTAAGTAGATTTTTCTTACATACTTGAAATATGTTACAAAAACAGAATCACATTCAATATTGCTTCTCTCTATAATGATTTTGTTATTTCTAGTGGAGTCCACAAAGTTAGTCCTATCATGATATATTTAAATACATTTGTGTAGTAGTATGCATATAAATTATAATAAATGATAAAATACATACTAAAAGACTATCAAAATATAGGATCTGCTAAAATAATTTAGTGCTCGTCGGATATCACATATTTGTCAATGGGGTCTAGACTCATTTAATTGAGTGTGCATTATTTTAATTAATCTTTTCGTCCAGTCATGTCAAAAAGAGTAACATAAATCAATAATTAAATAAAATGGACAATAAAAAAATAAATAAAAAGACAAGTTATGGATAAGTCCAACACTTTGAGAAATTGGGGGACCCCATTTGTGGGCAGGTTGTAACAATATGTTTCTAATGCGTATGTTCTATCTTTCCAGATTGTAATAATTTATTTATGTTTTTTTTTTAAATAATGGAAACCCAGTTAATTATATTCAGGTGCACTGGTTAAATTTTACTAGTATGTAATAATTTTGAAATCACACGATAAATGTCTATGTTAAGCAGTTATTTATGACAAGTTCAATCTAGAAAACGTTTGCAAGCGAGCTCGAACCCAATCATTTGACATTGTCCTCTCTTACTTATTCAACTAAGTTACTGAATTAAAAAATATTCCTTGGATATGTACAAAGAGGACTTGGTATTTGCATTTAAAAGTATTTTCATAATACTTATATTAGTATTTGAGTGTGGAAATTTAAATCTTGTTGCATGTTGTTATTTTATATGTAGATGTATTAAATTTTTTAGGATTCGGGGGCAATGCCTGAAAAAAAAATTAGGACTTTTTTGTTTTGATAAAACTAGAAGACGAGAAAAAGAAAATAAATTTTTAAGGACTTTTTTGAATTAATTTAGAATTTGGGTGGACTAAATAATACAAATTGGGTGGACTAAAAAAATATATAAGTATTTTTTGAAATAATATAACGGATAGTTTTTCAATTGAGAGTGGACTCGCCCCTGATTCCAAGCCACGATTTGTAACTTTCTTATTTAACTTGTTAGACGCATTCATTATTTTTCGTTGCTCTCTTCAATTAAAAATAATCAATTTTATTTCTTATATAAAATTAAATTATACAAAATTACAGAAGCACGGTACAATGACAATAAATTATATTTACATATAAAGTAATAAAAAAAAATAAAAAAAATCAAGGGGGCAGGCCCTACATTGGCTTCTAATTTATGTTACGAAAGATGAGTTAGATAGTTTAAATGTAAATTAATTTAAGTGAAAGTTGTGGAGTTAACAGCTTGTCCCGAAGTTGGGGACCATTCACATGTTTTATGTGATTTTTGTATGTTTCGTAGAGTCGACAAACAATGCTATCAAATGAAAAACCATGCTATCAAATGATTTTCGCCTATTATAAAAATAAATTTTGATCATCGCCTATTATGTAGACGTTTTGTCACACATACACGTTTTTTCAACTTTTAAGTGTTACAAAAACGTATGGTTGGTTAGAGATTATGTTTAGGATTAAGGTGGTATTTGCAAGAAAATTAAAAATAGATTATGAGTTTTTTTTCTGCATATAATTTATTTTTAGGTATTTGTAAAACAAATTTTTGTTTTTGTTTCTCTTAAAATAAATTGTTTTAAGCTATAATTTTACAAGTATCGATGTACTTGTTTTTTTTTTTTCTAGTTTAGTTGTTTTTAACTAATTTTGCAAATACCCCAACTTTTAGAAATAAACATAATCCAAAATACAATTACAAACTTCTGCTTTAAATAAGCTTTTGCAAACGCCATCTAAGTGTGTGTATATATAATTATATATATATATATATATATATATATATATATATATATATATATATATATATATATATATTAATATATATATATATATATATATATATATATATGTGCTGTGTGTGTCTCGTCGAGTAGTCGTGGTGCCATATATATATTATATATAGTGTGTGTATTTATTTCTTTTTATAGTAGTATAGTATATATAGTATAGTATATATATATATATATGTGTGT